GGAAATAATTCATCATTTTACATCATTGAAAAAAATATTTTTTGTTTCATCGAAATAGTTTCGTTATTGATCTGAATTAGATTTACTTTAATAAAAAAAAATATAGTAATGTATTGAAACTTTTTCAAATAAATATATTATATAATTAGTTTCTGAAGAAATATCAAACAATTCCAACTTAATTTTCTACAACGAGAAGTCATTTTTTCTATTTTATCTTCAAATATTATTTATTGAAACGTTTCTGAATGGAAACAATAGGATATTCGAGATTTTTTTTTCTCTGTAATTTAATTTGACACGTTAAGTATATCAAATAGATCAAAAAGACAGAATACAAATAGCAATGAGTAAAATATGAGCTAAATTGTGGATTATTGGTGTGTATGAAAAGAAGCTCATATACATGCACATATTCATTATTCTGTTGTCTTAATCTTTGGATTGAATCGAATTTATATACTAAACTTGCATTATAATCTTTACTGAATAGAGTTCGAGAATGAAAACGACAACATCATTACAATTTTAATCATACGACTTTCAACATCAGTCAAAACTTCTTTACAAATGTAACTCTAAAAACTCTATCTAGACATGATATTCATTCTCTCTGAGTTTTGTTAAACCAGTCGTTATCTTTATTATCAACAAATAGCGAAATAAAAAGAAATTTATTACAAGATAAGTTCATAAATAGTGAAATGCCTTGTTTTCTTTTTATGATATCTGAGATTTCTTTTGTCTTCATCTTATTTTGCTAATAAGTATTCTATGCATAGAAACGGGTTAATATACATTATTGTTTGAAAATGTATAATGAATTTCTATAGAAGTAGGTTAATTGTTTCGGTCAATTTATAGAGTATAAGATCGTGTGGAGACGATAAAAGCATAGGTAAAAGGTGATTATTGAAGTTCTTCTACTATTCTTGATGAAACTATTATTATTAACAAGATAGATACACAGAATGTTATGAGTCTAACTTTTAATCATCACAACATACAAACGCGATTTCAAGTTATATGTAATCAATGGACCACAAAATAATACTATACAACAATATCTTTTTACTCATTAATTCTATGCTTATTTCTTTAAAAGTAAAAAAAATATTCAGAAGGGTGTGGGTGGGTGTGGGGTGGCTAGGGTGTGGGTGTGGGTGTGGGTGTGTGGGTGTGGGTGTGGGTGTGGGTATGGGTGTGGGTGTGGGTGTGGGTGTGGGTGTGGGTGTGGGTGTGGGTGTGGGTGTCGGTGTGGGTGTGAGTGTGGGTGTGGGTGTGGATGTGGGTGTGGAGTGTGAGTGTGGGTGTGGGTGTGGGGTGTGAGTTTTAATCGTCTCTTCATCCACACCCACACCCACAATCACACTCCACACCCCACACCCACACCCTATTTATGTTTCAACAATTCTATTGGTAGTTCAAAGTTATGATTCATACATATGTTATTTATTTTATTTTAACCCATTTAAGTCTTTTAATTGTTGATTTCATTATTCAACTGACTTTGTTCAATTGATTAGTTAATACGTTGCTGTTTTACTTAAATTTAGTAGTGATTCATACGCATAAGCATCCATCAAGTCAAATATTCAGAATCAGCTGATTATGTTGATTGATTTCTTATGATGATTACATTTATTTATTTATTTTTTATTATTGTTTGTCTATTTAGAATTGAATCTTCTTCTTTATCATTCACTTCAATTGTAATACACATTGTTATTTAATTATCTACGTGAAGTTGCTGTTATTGATCCATCATCAATTCATTTCAATCAACACGACCACCACCATTACGTCAACCAAAATCGAAAAAGAAGATAAAAAACATTAATGTTCAAAAATTGTCGAAGATATTTACATCCATTAAGGATTCTGACTATGAATTAATATCATCAGATGATGAAATTTATTTAAATCAATTGATAGAACCAGTTGTAAACGTCCATCCTCCTGAAGATCAAATTAATAATGATAATATTACACAAGATGTTATTCGAGATTTAGATGATGATGCTAATGTCGAATTACAAATTGAAGAACCAACAATTGATGCTATAATGAACGATGATGATGATCAAATGAATAGTGTTAACAACCACTCCGTGGTTGTTGACGGGATGAATAATCCAACTGAACATCACCACCAACGAATCAAGAAAAAACGATCACTTCAAGCAAAACAAAAAAAGAACCGAAAAAGAAACAACCAATTACGATTACTTCGATATAAATATTATTTAACAAGATCATATTACTATCGATTTAAATCAAGAACCGTTAAAAAAGTTCTTCGATACTATGGTGTACAATATCGACACATAAAATTTCAAGACGATCGAGTGGTTATTGGTGTTAAAAGTAAGGCAGCTCGACGTGATTATGAAGAAACATTACCATACAATTGTTTCAACAGGAGAAATTATTGGAGATTTAGAAGGTGATCATTAATTCGAACAGTAACTTGTTCCTTTTTTTCTTTTTTCTTCTGCATCTATCAGATTTTGTTTGTTAAACAGATATTTTCCTTTCATTTGTCTTTCGTTAAATTTTTTTTTTGTCAGATACTACTGATATTTTACACATGTTTTTTTTCCTTTTTTTTTCGTTATTTTCATATGGTCTTTCAGTAAAAAGTGTTTGTGAGCAAAACTTTTTTCTTCAAGGGGAAGGGTGTTATGGTTTATTCCATTCAGTCATGACATCTATACCTCGACTATCTCTTTCGTGTTTCCTTTCTTATTGTTGTTATATATATATATGTTAGTGAAGCAAAAATAAAAGTCAGTTGGTTATGCTTAAGTTAAATGAACTCGAACGTCCTTAAGATTAAGTGCAAATAAAAGCATAACATGACTCATCAAACTATCCATTCCATTGCATATTGAAATAAGAAATGTGCGTAATATATAGATAGATTCTAGTGTGAAACTATTTGGATATTCATATAAAAGAGAATTTTCGCGGTTAAAATGCAATTCTATCAATTTTTTTAAAATGATGACACTGTTTTCTTACTTTTTAAAGTATGTATATGTAAATAAAATAAAGACTAATAAATATCGGCATTTTGGGTTATTCAAGACTTAAAAAGAATGATACACTCGCAATTTAAACAAGAAAATTCTCTTCTATATGAATATCCAAATAGTTTCACACTAGAATCTATCTATATATTACGCACATTTCTTATTTCAATATGCAATGGAATGGATAGCTTGATGAGTCAATAATACATTCAAAGAGACCAATTAATTATCTTTGAAGAAATAATATCAAAGAAAGTTCAATTTTGTTAAAAAAAAACCAGTACGCAATCAAATGTTCTGCGATAGTGATAGAGAGAAACGAAAGAATAAAAGAATAGAGGAATGAAGAAATAAGAGAATAGAGAAATAGGGGAATAGGAGAATAGTGGAATAGTCGGGGAATAGAGGAATACAGAAACGAAGGAATAGCGGCCGACCGACCGGAATATATTTTGACGTGCTCCCTTAGTTCTGTTGTTTTTCTGTGCATGTCGCAATGCATTACCATAATCAGTATCAACTTGTTTTTTTTTTCGCCGTTCTATATAATATGTAATCGATGGGAGGGGAGAAAAAAGTATTACGTCGCTTGGTTTTTTCCCGCTCGTTGTTAGTAACTTTATCTTTGTGTTCTCTTGCATTTATTCTTAAGCCTAAACTGCGCATCATCAAATATGCAATACAAACAAGGAAGTGAAACAGTAGATATGATCAATACTCCTTATATACTTGTTTCAAGACCATTGTCATCGAATGAAGATCCTGAAGTACAACGAACTCGCAAAATTTTTCTAATTATACTTGGCGTGTGTTTTGTGAGTTTTTATTGTTTTGTTTGATATCTATATGAATTACATGAAGAAGAAAAACAAGATTTTTATAGTAATATGAAAATGAACTAAACAGATATACATATTTTGAATTTATCATAGTTCGAGATTATTAATTTCTTTAAATATTCAAATCGATAAATTCAAGCATTTTCGAAAAAAATCTTAATAATGATTACTTATTCCTTCGACTGAAGGGAGAGTCATGTGAAATAAAATGAGTTTGTGTTTGTTTGCTTGCGCGTGTAAAGTCTACGCACGCATATATATAGGACTATGTAAAATGGAATTTTTTCATGCGAGTAGTCCAGCGAATCTGAAGATTCTGCTGTCTACCTCTTATCTAATCAAGGTTTTGCAGACTTAGAACATAGACTATCGGATATTTTTCCCATTCAACTCTCGTTCAATCAGATTTTTTAAAGTTTGTTATTCACCTAATTAGATATGGTGTGTGGGTGTGACGATGGTTGGATTTGGGCGTGAATGTTAGTATAAGTATGATTGATTGAATAGATGCAGAGAAGAAGAGCATACTTATTCAGACCCACATCGATCCTCATGCATAGCTCTGATATTAATGTCGATTGGGTTGGTAAAGTAGTAAATTGTACAGAAGGAATTGAATATTCAGTCGAGGGTCAAACAAGTCGCAACGACGAGCATTACTTGTATGTAAAAAAAAAACATTTATCATCTGATTTTAAAATATAAGAAGAAAAAAGTGTCAAAATGACGAGTGTTAAGTTGGATTAGCAAGACAAACTACTAAAGATTAATGTTTTCGTAGTTGGAGCAAAGTAATATTTGTTTTTAAAGCATTCTCAAATTGAGTTCTGACATATTGTGAAATAAGATAAGTAATTTATTCGAATTAATGCAACGTCATTTCTATCTACCGAAATGAATATGGAAACCAATTTGTTTCATCCTAACCTAAAGATGATTTGATTAAATCAAATTATTTTATATTCTGACTAAATCCATAATAATCTCTGTCAAACAATATTTATCATCTTAGAGAAATTTTCGAGATTGATCCATAGAAATTCGAATTTAATTCATATTATATATTAATATTGTAGGGTCTTATTATGGCTGGTACAATTACTATCATTTTTGGACCTACGATCGATATTTGTTTAATTGGTAATGGAAATATTGCAAAAATAGCTGGATGTCTTATTTCAATTCTATTCTACACCTTTGGAATATTCGTTGCTTATCGATATTATCAAACAGGTTTACGAGTGGTATGTCGCATGTTTTGTTTTTCTTTTTAATATACAATTCTTATCAAATATATGGAGTTATTTTCCAGGAAAAAACGGGACATACCCAGAGATGGGACTGGCAACGGTTACCAACCGGTTCGGTCCGGTACCGACACGAGTTTCAGATTGGCCGGTCTATCGGTAGACCAGCCTATCTGACTTTTTCGGTAGGGGTGTCACTTTTGTGTTCCATTCCCAGGAACGGGGAACGCACCACGTTGCCCGTTTCCAAGAACGGGAACGCAATTTCAAATTGCGTTCTAAAGGATTATTTCACTATAGAAACCTTACTATATAGATTTTCTGACCTTTTTATGTGACTATAATGTGCATTCCCCGTTCCTAGGAATGGGAACCCATCTTCATTTCCAGTTCCCAGGAATGGAAACGCGTCCCCTGTTCCTAGAAACTGGAAACGGAACGTCAAAATGATATATGTATGACTTATGTGCTAAAGTTTGCGTTCCCAAGTAATGGGAATGCATCTCAAAGTGTTCCATAAAGCATTATTTCAAAACAGCAACATTACCATGTATCTTTTCTAGCCTTTTTATACGATTGTGTAATGTGTTCCCTCGTTCCTAGGAATGGAAACGTACTTGTGTTCCCCGTTTCCAAGAACGGGAACGCACACCCATTCCCGTTCTTAGGAATGGGGAATGCATTTTATGATGGCATAGAAAAGTCAGAAAATCTATATAGTACGGTTTCTATAGTGAAATAATCCTTTAGAACGCAATTTGGAATTGCGTTCCCGTTCTTGAGAACGGAGAACGTGAGTGCGTTTCCATTCCTAGGAACGGGGAACGCATTACACAATTGCATAAAAAGAGTAGAAAAGATACATGGTAATGTTGCTGTTTTGAAATCATGGTTTATGGCGCATTTGAGATGTGTTCCTGTTCCTTGGGAACGGGAACGCTGACACCCCTACTTTTCAGACTAGTACCAGTACCAGTCGTCAAAAATTTAGACTGGTTTCATCATCTATATCAGTTATCTAATACAACTTAGCACATCAAGTTTATCACGCGAAAAACGGCATTTTTCATATCTAAACTACTCTTTCTCTATCCAGGTCGATCATTTCGACTGTCGAAAACGGCGTCTTATCTGGCCTGAAACGGCTATAGAACGACGAATTACGGCATTAATTCTGACCTTATTTCGCCGTTTTCTTGGACGTGGATAATCCTGTGAATTATCGATATATCATGCGTTATCGGTAGACTGGTCGGTTACCGGTAGACCGGCCGGTCCGGTCCAGTCTGACTTTTTCAGACCGGTTCTATCTCTGAACATCCCCATTTCATTTGACTTTGGTTATTTACGAGAATTATTTTTCTGAATAAATTTTTTTAGCATAGACATATGTGAAAATGTTGGCTCTTTTAGTTAATTATTAATTTTAATTAATTAATTAAAAAGTAATTAGTGAATATCTCTGTAAGCATAAGAGGAAAATTTCGAAAAGTTGAGGATAGACTCTATATCACAATTTAGATCTATGTTGAAATGTTCAGGAAGATCGGATTCTGAAAAACTTTTTCTGAAAAATCAAATTTCTAAAGACTCTATCAAGTTCTGAACAGAAAATTTTTGTCTTATTATCATCTAGAGATTCTGAGAAAAGATTTTTACCATTTGGAATTGGTTTCGAACATTTCATTCGTTTATAAGTGTATTTATTCATTTGTATATTCATACTCCGTCACATCACTAATGAAAAATAAATTGACTTTTCTGAAAAATATTGGCATACTCAGAAAAAAAACTTTGCATAGAGATTTTGTAGCCTAAGGAGTTGTCTAGAGAAAGCGCTATTTAGTTTTTGAAAATGCTTCTTTAATTCAGAGTTTCGTAAAAATAAATTCCATAAGATGAAAGTCGATATCATTTTTTGTAGAGTCACGTCGATAACGAATGATGTTGTCCATATTTGAAGATAGTCTGACTTTATCAGTCTAATGAAAAAAAACAAGTTTTCCTGTTAATTTTAAGTATGGTATTATGTTATTAAACTATTTTTATGTTGTCTGATAAACGATCAATAATCTTCTCAAAATGAGTAACAAAACTAACTGATTTACTTTAAATGTCTTCAATTGAGGTGACACAGTGATTATTTCATAGATTTAACAATACTAATTCAACAATTCGTCTAAAATCTTATAAAGAAATAAAATGAAACAATGAGTTATATTATATATCATTCAAAATAACACACAATGAACAATCAGTTGATATGATCAATTTATGTTCAATTATATCTTCACTGATCTTCAGTTTTTCCATGTTTTACAATCTATATTTTTGCTTTCCAAAAATTTCTCAATAAAAACTAATAAAAAAAACATGAGAAATAAAAACTATTCATACGCACATATATAAATAATCCAAAGTCAGATCGAAATTATGTTCGATGAAAAACTTTCTATCGAATTAATCATCGTTAGTTTTCAAGGTCGAAAATATCAACAAAACTAATCAATTTCAAGGTAATAGGATCATAATTTTTAAAAAAATCTATTAAAATCAACTTTTGACAGTTTTATTTATTTGGAGATCTTTGATATACACATCTATATTCGACAGTTCATTAAAACGACACCTTAGATTAATTCGTCGTTCAATAAAATATTCCTATTAAAATTAATATTTTTATTTTTAAATTTTAAATTTTAGTTTGCTTGGTTGAACATAATTACACTGATTATACTAGGTATTGCAATCGTAGCTTTGTTCATCACTGGTATCACAAATTCAAATAACATTCTATTATCTATTTATAATGGACAATATCCTAATACCATGATTAAGACACGAACAGGTGCTTTCGTTTGTGCTTTTATATACATACCTGATTTTATTCTTAACGTATGGATTTTATCTCATATATTTATATTTCTATTTATATAATACTTATTTTATTTTCTAGATAATCATTGTCAAATTTTCCTTCAAATTGGCTAAACTTATTGATGCAAAAATATCTTTAACCAGTCAACAAATTTAACGTTTCATTTAATCGATATTTTAATCATTTAAACTTCTATTCAGTTTTTTGTGGAACTCACATATATTTTCGAAGAAAATAGTGAGTGTAAGTTTTAAGTTCGAGGTTTGGCGGCTCCCCCCCC